TTAAAACATTGTCATTTACAATAATACATTCAGTTGTTAAAATCATACTTGCAATTGAAGTTGCATTTTGTAAACCAGACCGAGTTACTTTTGCTGGATCAACAATTCCTCCTTCATACATATTTTCAAACGTATCTTTTGCCGCATTATAACCAATTTCAAATTCTTGCTGTTGGACTTTTTCAATAATTACTGCACCATTAATCCCGGCGTTTTCAACAATTCGTTTTAAAGGTGCAAGAATAGCACGGGCAGTAATCATAGCTCCAATTAACTCATCTTCACTTAAATTATTTTTAGACCAGCTTATAAGATTTTCTGATAAATGAACTAATGTTGAGCCACCACCAGGTACAATTCCTTCTTCTACTGCTGCTCGTGTAGCATTAATAGCATCTTCTAAACGTAATTTTTTATCTCTCATTTCTGTTTCTGTTACCGCACCAACTTTAATAACAGCAATTCCACCTGACAATTTTGCAATTCGGTCTTGTAGTTTTTCTTTTTCATATCCTGTATCAGCAGTATTTGCTTGTTTTCTTAATTGTTCACAGCGAATTTTAATTTCATTTACTGTTTGGCCATTAGCAACAATCGTCGTTGTTTCTTTATTGACAACAATCTGGCGAGCTTGGCCTAATAACTCTAATTGGATGTTATCTAAGTTTAGTCCAGCATCTTGAGTAATGACAGTACCACCAGTTAAAATTCCAATATCTGCTAATAATTGTTTACGTAATTCACCAAAACCTGGTGCCCTGATGGCAACCACATTAACAATTCCTCTTAATTTATTTAAAATTAAAGTCGCTAGAGCTTCTTTTTCAATATCTTCTGCAATAATTAAAAGAGAACGTTTCGTTTTTGTAATTTGTTCGAGAATAGGTAATAAGTCTTGTTGAATTAATGTAATCCGTCTATCAGTTAAAAGGATATAAGGGTTATCATAAGAAACTTCCATTTTATCTGTGTTTGTAATAAAATATGGAGAAATAAATCCTTTTTCAAGTTTCATTCCTTCAGTGATTTCTAATTCTGTTACAACTCCCTTTCCTTCCTCTAAAGAGATTACACCTTCTTTTCCAACTTTTGCTAAAGCATCAGAAATAAGCGTACCAATTATTTCATCATTTCCTGCAGAAATTGAAGCAACATGTTGTATCGCTTGGATATCTTCTACTGGTTGGGCAAATTCATTGATTTGTGTCACTAAATATTGACCCGCTTTTTCCATTCCTAGTTTCAACGAAATTGGGTTTGCACCAGCAGCAACATTTTTTAATCCTTCTTTAACCATCGCATAAGCTAAAACAGTTGCTGTTGTTGTTCCATCACCAGCTACATCATTAGTTTTTGAAGCTGCTTGACGAATTAGAGAAACTCCTGTATTTTCGATATGATCTTTTAGATTAATTTCTTTTGCAATGGTAACTCCATCATTAACAATTTGTGGTGAACCATAACTTTTCTCTAAAACAACATTCCGGCCTTTAGGACCTAATGTTACAGAAACAGCTTCAACAATAATTTCCATTCCACGTTCTAACGCACGACGTGCATTATCTTGATATAAAATTTTTTTAGCCATAAATTTTTTTAAATAAGTCTATAATATTTTTTATGTTTATTAAATTCAGGTCAAATTTTAATTTAATAATACGATATTTTACAAGATTAATTTAAAAATTTTATTAATTTTTATTATAAAAGAGTAATCTATTAAATTTTGAGTCAAAATTAAATATACAAATGTCAACTAAAAATCTTATTTGAGAAACTAGTAAAGTATAAATAATCAAATTAGTTTATTCATACTTTACTAATTTAAACAACATAGAGTATAATTATAAATAAAATTATATTTTGGGCTTGTAGCTCAGTGGACTAGAGCACGTGGCTACGAACTACGGTGTCAGGGGTTCGAATCCCTTCTTGCCCAACGTTTTTATTGTATAATTTAATTTTTTAATGTTAGGTTTGACATTTTGGGGTGTCGCCAAGTGGTAAGGCTGCGGACTTTGACTCCGCCATTCGTAGGTTCGAATCCTGCCACCCCAGTTTCTAAATATTTCGGGTTAATAAATTGATACACAAAAAGTTGTTTTTAATTTTTAGAAATTGCATAATTAAATTAAAAAATAGTTAACAATAATTAATAATCTAAGAATAAGCTTAAAATTATGAAAGCTCGAATCCAATTTATAAAAGGATTAGATGAAATTATTTTACCAGATGTTCGTTTAACACGATCTCGTGATGGAAGTACAGGAACAGCAACCTTTAAATTTAAAAATCCAACTATCTTAAATAAAAAGACAACGAAAGAAGGTGAAATCACTGGAATGTATTTAATCGATGAAGAGGGTAGCTTCGAAACCCATGATGTAAAAGCATGTTTTCTAAATGGAAAACCAGAAATAATTGAAAGTATCTATATTATGAAAAATCTCGAAGCTTGGGATCGATTTATACGCTTTATGGAAAGATATGGAGAAGCAAATGGTTTAGTTTTTACTAAAGCAACTTAAAAAAAGTCTAAAATAATTAAAAAATGCAAATATCATTAAAATGGGTCAACGAATTAGTCCATATTGAAACAGTAAACTTAGAAAATTTAATCGAAAAGTTAACATTAGGAGGATTTGAAGTTGAAGAAATTATTGAGATTACAATGGATCATGAAAAAAGAATTACGTTAGATATCTCGGCAACTGCAAACCGTTCTGATAGTTTATCTATTCAAGGAATTTCATTAGAAATTGCTGCTATATTAAATAAAACACCTAAAATGTCCAAGTACTCAATAACCGAGTTTAATTGGTCAAAAAAAATCCAATATTTTTCTAATAATTTTATAGACAAAAATAATTGTTTAGAATTTCTTGGGATTAGTTTAGAAAATATAGATAGATTAACATCACCTAAGTGGTTAAAAAAAAAGTTAATATGTTCAAATATACGGCCAGAAAACAATTTTAAAGATTTTCAAAATTATATTCTATTAGAAACAGGATATCCCTTTGAATTTTATGATTTAGGAAAAATAAAAAAGAAAATAAATAATTCAAATTTTAAATTAAATTTACGATCTGGTAAAATTAATCAAAAATTTCTAGCTAATAATAATGTTGAATACAATCTTGATAATTCAATTCTAACTGTTGAAGCAAACCAACTTCCAATTAGTATAGGTGGAATAATTTCACATAAAAGTGTTGAGTGTACGAAAGATACAAAATCATTATTAATTGAAGGCAGTATATTTAATGCTGCAAAAATAAGGCGACAATCGCGTCAACTTGGATTAAGAACTTCTCGATCATCAAGATATGAAAAAGCATTAAAGAATATTGATTTAATAAATGCATTTTATCAATTAATTTCATTGTTAAGAATTTCAAATCCTAATCTAATTTGTAGGTTTCATACGCTAGGAAAACCTATTGTAAAAAAAAATCGAACTTTAGTTCTAAGCTTTAATAACATTAAAAAAATTTTAGGGCCAACTAAAGAATCAACCAAAAATCTACAAAAATATATTTCAGTGGACCAAGTAACTAAATCTTTAAAACGGTTAAATTTTGACGTTACAGATCAAGAAATAGATCATACATGGAAAGTTACTATTCCATCTTTAAGATCAGATGATATAATTCGTGAAATCGATTTGATTGAAGAAATTGGTCGGTTATATGGATTTGATAATTTCTTAACAAGATTACCAAAATTTGAAAAAATTGGTAAAAAAGATTTGAGTTATAAAACTCGACAAAAACTTACCAATTGTTTACTTAATTTAGGATTGAGTGAATTAATTCAATATTCTCTTGTAAATGAAAAAGCATATGGTACAAATAAGATTGAGTTAATTAATCCATTAATTAAGGATTATACAAATTTGAGATCAAGTCTATTACTTAATCTTTTAACATCAATAAAAAAAAATATTAATCAAAGTAATTTAGAACTTGAAGGATTTGAATATGGCCACGTCTTTTTCAAAAATGATTTTAATGAAATTCAAGAAATTGAAAATATTGCAGGTGTGTTTGGAGAATATCAAATAAAAAAGAGTTGGTTGGAAAAAGGAAAGTTGTTAAATTGGTTTGAAGCAAAAGGAAAAATTGAACATTTATTCAAACAATTAAATTTATCAATATATTGGAAATATGAAGAGTTAGGAAAAGAAGAAAATTTTTTCCATCCCTATTGTAGTGCGATTATTTATTTAAAAAATGAACAAAAACTAGGTAATTTTGGACAAATTCATCCTATTACTGCTAAAAAATTAAATTTATCACCAAACTTATATCTATTTGAATTTAATTTTAAATTTATACAAGATGAATTAGAAAAAAATCAATTAGCTTTTTATCAAGAATATTCAACTTATCCAAAAATTATTAAAGACCTATCATTTGTAATTAACAAAAATATTTCTTTTAATTATCTCAAAAAAGTTTTATATTTGAATAGCAGTCATTTTTTAAATGGGATAAATTTAATTGATAAATATTCGGGAAAAGATATTCCAACAAATAAAATTAGTTTATGTTTACAGTTTATTTTTCAATCTGATAAAACAACATTACAAAATAAAGAAGTTGAAGATATCTTAAATAATATTCAGAGAATATTAGCAACAAAATTTGATGCAAAAATTCGAACTTAAGCAATAACCTCTAATGATAATTCTATAATAAATTATAGAATTATCCGCCTCCAACGATACTAACAACTTCAAGTTTATCATGATTTTTGATAAAAGTTTGATGCCATTTATTTTTATTATAAACTGATTGATTAAGTTCTAAAACTAGAAGAGAATTATTATAATTAAAATAGCTAATTATATTTAGTAATGTTAAATTTTGCTTAGTATAGTAACATTGGCCATTAAGTGAAAAATATTTGATTTGTGACATAAAATTAAAAAATATGAGTAAATAACCTAGACGTATTATTATAATAATTGATAAGATATTAGTCAAGATGATACGGCGGGTGTGGCCAAGTGGTTAAGGCAGTGGGTTGTGATTCCATCATTCGCCGGTTCAAGTCCGGTCACTCGCCCTTGTTATTAATTGATAAGTATTTTTAAAAAATTATTTATATAATAAGTTAAGATTATGTCACGTTATCGTGGACCTAAATTACGAATTAGTCGACGATTAGGCTCTTTACCAGGTTTAACAACCAAAAAATCAAAGAAATTAAATCGTCCAGGGAAGGAAGGAAATTCGATTGAAGTAGGTAAGAAGTTGAGCGAGTATGCTATTCGACTAGAAGAAAAACAAAAATTGAAATATAACTATGGATTAACTGAAAATCAATTATTTCGATATGTAAAAGAAGCTCGTCGTCGACAAGGTGTTACTGGTCTAATTTTACTTCAATTGTTAGAGATGAGATTAGATACTCTTTGTTTCACATTAGGTTTTGCAAAAACGATAAGACAAGCACGTCAATTAGTTAATCATGGTCATATTACGATCAATGGAAAAGTTCTTAATATTCCAAGCTTCCAATGCCGATTAAATGATGTTATTAGTGTTAAAGATAAAACTATTTCAAAAAATTTAATTAGTAATAATCTTAAAAATAATCAACGAAGTGAAATTCCATATAATTTAAAATTTGATTCAGATAAATTAAAGGCAACTGTTTTAGATTATTGTGATCGCAATGCTATTCTATTACCCTTGGATGAACTACTTGTTATTGAATATTACTCTCGCCGTTAATAATTTAGCTATTCAAAAGATTAATTAAACTATATACTAAATTCATGTTAAAATTACGATTAAAACGAATTGGAAGAAAACGTTCACCGTCATATCGATTGGTTATTATGGAGAATACTTGTCGACGCGATGGTCGACCCATTGAAGAAGTTGGTCATTATAACCCAATATCAAAAAATTATAAATTTGATCAAGAAAAAATTGTAAAATGGTTACAATACGGTGTGAAGCCTACTGAAACTGTGTTACAGTTATTAAAAAAAGCAAATATAATATAATTAAAATTAATTTATTATATATATACATTGTTCTATTTATAGAGTGAATATAATATTAAATAACTTTATTTAACATTATAAACTTATGTCACACTTTACACATATAAAAACACGTTTTCAAAATCTCTTTTATCTAGAAAAAACTTTAAATCGATTAAAGATTAACTATAAAAAAGTTGTTTCACCTCAAACTCAGAATTCAAGTTTAATCATTACTCAATCAAACGGATATAATCTTGAATTTTCTTGGAATAATCATGAGTATGAATTAATTGCTGATATTAGTTTTTGGCAACAAACTTATCCAATTGAAACTTTTATGGACCAAATTGCAAAACAATATGCTGGTGAAGTGATAATTGGTGAAAGTCAAAAAATTGGTTTTCAACCTGTAAAGTATCAACAAAATTCAGATGGCTCGAACACATTAATTTTAGAAAGATGGAATAGTTAATTAAATGAAATAAAGAAACAAATTAACAATAATCGAAAAGCGGTTTGTATCATTGCGATTTTCCTTGATTGATATATTATATTGTTAGAGGTATATAATCTTTTCGTCTATATACATCTAATAATATACCAAATCATGTGGATGGGAAATGTTAATGTTAAAATTTACTTACCATTTTGGTAGTGATACATAAAATTCATTATATTAAATACGGATAATGTCAATGGTTAATCCTTTAAATGGAAAACAGGTTCGTGACTTTATTCTCAAGCAAGGCTACTCGATAACAGAAGCTGCTGCTTGTTCTTGGGGAAATATTACAGGAATTGCAAATAAATACATAAATACAGGTAAAGGTGTACTAACAGCTCAATGTAGTTGGTTCTGGTGCCTTCAAAGCTACAAAAGATTTTTATAGAGGAGATGTAGTGTGTGCCACTTTATACTCAATTTCTATAGGTTGTGAGACAGTATGTGGCGTTATAACTTGGGTTCCTATGCCTTATAAATTTACCGCAATATCTGTTTTAAAAGCTATTTTGCATGGTAGTACAAAATTCCGCGACATGTGCGCAAATGATCCTTCAAATCCAGCTTGCTAATTTAACTTTAGCATAATGGATCTATTTAATTTTTATTTGGAGCATTTAATGTAATGTAGTTTTCGAATACATAATAATTGTTATTAAAACAAAAACTTAAAATCTTTTTTTCGAAATTAAAAAATTCTTTAGCTTCAGTCATTATTATATAAAAAGTTTCAAAAAGTAGACATTTAAGAACAAAAAGTTAAAATTTCTAAACCTAATAAAGGTTTAGAAATTTCTAGAAGTTAGCAAATTAACCATTAACAGCTGGAGCTGTTAAAGCAACTGGTAATACTTCACCTGAAGCTAAATCTAATGGGAAGTTGTGAGCATTACGTTCGTGCATTACTTCCATACCTAAATCTGCACGGTTAATGATATCAGCCCATGTATTGATAACACGACCTTGAGAATCAACTACAGATTGGTTGAAGTTGAAACCGTTTAAGTTGAACGCCATTGTACTAATACCCATAGCAGTTAACCAGATACCTAAAACTGGCCATAAAGCTAAGAAGAAATGTAAAGCACGAGAGTTATTGAATGAAGCGTATTGGAAAATTAAACGACCAAAGTAACCATGTGCTGCAACGATGTTGTAAGTTTCTTCTTCTTGACCGAATTTGTAACCAGCATTAGTAGATTCGTTTTCAGTTGTTTCACGAATTAAAGAAGAAGTTACTAATGAACCATGCATAGCAGAGAATAATGAACCACCAAATACACCAGCAACACCAGCCATGTGGAATGGGTGCATTAAAATGTTATGCTCAGCTTGGAATACTAACATGAAGTTAAAAGTACCAGAGATACCTAAAGGCATACCATCAGAGAATGAACCTTGCCCAATTGGATATACTAAGAATACTGCAGAAGCTGCTGCTACTGGAGCAGAGAATGCTACGAAGATCCAAGGACGCATACCTAAACGGTATGATAATTCCCATTCACGACCCATGTAAGATGCTACACCAGTTAAGAAATGTAATACGATTAATTGGTAAGGACCACCATTGTATAACCATTCATCGATAGAAGCTGCTTCCCAGATTGGGTAGAAGTGCATACCGATAGCATTAGAACTAGGGATAACTGCACCAGAGATGATGTTGTTACCATATAATAAAGAACCTGCAACAGGTTCACGAATACCATCAATATCAACTGGAGGAGCTGCGATAAAAGCGATGATGTAACAAGAAGTCGCTGTTAATAATGTTGGGAACATTAAACAACCAAACCAACCGATGTATAAACGATTTTCTGTACTAGTAATCCAAGCAGAAAAACGTTCCCATAATGAAACGCTTTCACGTCTTTCTAAAGTTGCTGTCATAAATAAATTTTGATGTTATAATTCTTCCCAAGTATCTAACTTGTTAATTGCAATTATAAAACAAAATAATAAAATTCATCAGTTTTGTTTAGGTTTATTTTATAAATTCCAAAAACTCTAATTCGAAATCAAATAAAGCCCGATTTGTACTACCACCAATAAAAATTTGTTCATTATGATAAATTATCCAAATTTGAGAATAAGTAATATAACTAATTAAACTACTTGTCATTAAAAATAAAAACCCAAAATAAATTAATGAAATACCAGGGTCAGTTTTAATTTGTAATCCTGTTGAGCTTATTGGTTCTAAAAAAGTCATTGATTGTAAAAAATTCCCATTTTCATTTATTTCTAAATTTCCTAAAAATTGTCCAAAATTATCATAAATAGAACAATAACCTTCTAAATTAGAAATAATAATAATAATACCCTCCTGCTGATTTTCTTTATTGTCAAGCCAAGTTAACCACACTTTTTCTTGACTTCCAAAAATATTTGTTAGTGGATATTCAATCACTTGATTATTCATGATTTTAAATCTTAAACCGATTAGATTCCAATCTGTTTGATAATAATACATGTCTTTAAATATTAAAGGATAATTTACAGAAATTGTTTTTCGTTTTATTTCATTACCGTATTGATTTAAAATGGAAAGATCTGAATAAAATTGTGAAATAGTTTTTGTTTTTGTGTAACTAATCCAAAAATCATTAATTCGGGTTGATGTTTTAGGAATAAATGCTGAAGGACCAGTATTTAAAAGATTTTGAATATGAAAACTTTCTGTTTTGGGTACAATTTCTTGCGCTTTAAAACCAAATAATGCTCCAATAATTGTACCCAAGAGAATTAAGATCATACTAAAATGAACTATCATTGGTGCAATTCTTCCAATTAATCCTTTATAGCCATAAATCATATTCCGTTGTTGAAAAAGAGAATAATGTTTTCTTTTAATCCGCGCTAAAATTTTATTAAAATAAAAGCTATTCAAAATTGTTGAAATTTTTAATTTATAAAATGGATTAGGAGTACGAAAAAATTGACAGCGACGAGCTATATTTACAGATGGCAATTGTTGTAGAAAACTACATATAGTTAAACTACAACCAAATAAAAAAATTAAAAATAAAAACCACCAAGTTTGGTAAACATGGTCAAACCCAAAAAAAAGGATTCGATCCCATGATAAGAATCCAAATATTGGTTTAGTTAATGGATAGATTTTTTTATATACCTCGATAGATTGATCTTGTTCAATAATGGTTCCAATTATACTACAAAAACTAATTAACAAAAGAATAAAAATTGCAAACCGTAGATCTGCCAATAAGCGAAAAAATTTTTGTTTCATTAAAAAATTCAATTAAATATATATATTTTTGGATGAAGCTAATCTTATTTGACCGGAAGAAGCCCATTTCTGAAGTTTTATCATTTGGTTATTATCTAAATTTACTAATGGGATTAATTCTCGAAGTGCAAGACAAATATCATCTGTTGTAAATTCTCGTTTTTCATAAAAAGCATGGTACATACCCTCAATAATGCTTTGTTTAATTTCGGCTCCAGAAAAAGATTCAGATAATTTTCCTAATTTTGAATAATTAAATAGTTGGAAACTATTTGGTCGTAATTTTTGCAAATGAATTCTAAAAATTTCTTCAC